TTGGTTCCAGGTCTTTGCTATTGTAAACAGTGCTGCAATGAACATGTGTCCTTATAGTAGAACGATTTATAATCCTTTGGCTCTATACCCAGTAATGGGATTGCTGGGTCAAATGGAATTTCTATTTCTAGGTCCTTGAGGAATTGCCACACTGTCTTCCACAATGGTTGAACTAATTTACACTCCCATCAACAGTGTAAAAGTGTTCCTATTTCTCCACATCCTCTCCAGCATCTGTTGTCTCCAGATTTTTTAATGATCGCCATTCTAACTGGCGTGAGATGGTATCTCAATGTAGTTTTGATTTGCATTTCTCTGATGACCAGTGATGATGAGCATTTTTTCATATGTTTGTTGGCCTCATGAAGGCATGATTAGAGAAAAAAGGGTAAAAAGGAATGAACAAAGTCTCCAAGAAATGTGGGACTATGTGAAAAGACCTAGAATGATAGGTGTACCTGAATGCGGCGAAGAGAATGAATCCAAGCTGAAAAATACTCTTCAGGAAATTATCCAGGAAAACTTCCCCAACCTAGCAAGGCAGGCCAATATTCAAGTCCAGGAAATACAGAGAGCCCCACAAAGATATTCCTCACGAAGAGCAACCCCAAGGCACATAATCGTCAGATTCACCAGGGTTGAAATGAAGGAGAAAATGCTAAGGGCAGCCAGAGAGAAAGGTCGGGTTACTCACAAAGGGAAGCCCCTCAGACTCACAGCAGATCTCTCAGCAGAAACCCTACAAGCCAGAAGAGAATGGGGGCCAATATTCAACATCCTTAAAGAAAAGAACTTTCAACCCAGAATCTCCTATCCAGCCAAACTAAGCTTCATAAGTGAAGGAAAAATAAAATCCTTTGCGAACATGCAAGTACTCAGAGATTTCGTCACCACCAGGCCTGCTTTACAAGAGCTCCTGAAAGAAGCTCTACACATAGAAAGGAACAACCAGTACCAGCCACTCCAAAAACATGCCAAATGGCAAAGAGCATCAACACAATGAAGAATCTGCAAAAACTTACGGGCAAAACAGCCAGCTAGCACCAAAATGGCAGTATCAAATTCACACATAACAATATTAGCCCTAAATGTAAATGGACTAAATGCCCCAATCAAAAGACACAGACTGGCAAATTGGATAAAAAGCCAAAACCCATCGGTGTGCTGTATCCAGGAAACCCATCTCACATGCAAGGACACACAAAGGCTCAAAATAAAGGGATGGAGGAAGATTTACCAAGCAAATGGAGAGCAAAAAAAAGCAGGAGTTGCAATTCTCATCTCTAGTTTCTAATATGTACTGTGCGTGTGTGCATTTGCAACGTTTGTACAATGCATTTTCCTAACAATCTACAGTCAAATTTCTGATGTACACAGCCTAGTGTTCCTAACTGCATGACGACTAGAAATAGCAGCAACTATTCTAAAAGCAAACAAACCAGTTTAGATCAAATATTTACTACACGCTAGATACTGCACAATTAAAAATAATTCCACTTACAACAATATTTCCTAGATTTAAAAACGGAATGCTTGTAATAATTACATTATAGGCATAACCTTAAACTCTCTCAGGTAAACCAGGTCATATGGTTGCTCTACAGGTGAAGGGGATTCCTGGAGCTGATGGGGGTTCCTGGGTGGCTGGAGCCATCCAAGTTTAAAGAACGATGAACTTGAACCCCATAACACCAGGCACTCACTGTACCTAGGCTAGGCTCTTTTCTGACTTAGGTTTTAAGTTTATCCTTGATGGGCCTATAGACACATTCTGCCTTATCCTGCTGGCTAGGGTTTTATTTATTTATTTTGAGATGGAGTTTTGCTCTTGTTGCCTAGGCTGGAGTGCAATGGCGTAATCTCAGCTTACTGCAACCTCTGCCTCCCACGTTCAAGTGATTCTCCTGTCTCAGCCTCCCTAGTAGCTGGGATTACAGGTGCCCACCACCACGCCTAGCTAATTTTTTGTAATTTTAGTAGAGACAGGATTTCACCATGTTGGCCAGGCTGGTCTCAAACTCCTGACTTCTAGCTAGGTTTTAATTACTAACTGGCATAACTACCATGAGCCTCTCCCACGTTTCTAGCACTTAGAACACTATTCAGGAAAAAAAAAGTTTAGCTAATTAGTTTTCCCTTGCTTGTGAAGTAACAAATACAGTCTTCTTATTCTTCATAGTTCTGGTGGTCTTCGTTCTATTCCCTGCCAATGCTAAGACCTGGGGGGTGGGGCAGGGGTTGGGGAGAAGCATCTCCAACAGCTGGCATTACCTGGCTGCCACCAATTAGGTTGTGGTGTCCTCTGGTGAACACAAACAAGTTCCCAGGTATTAACATCAGATGAAGACTCACCATGACTGCACTAAACAGGATTAAGCCAATCAACGACCATGCCTTAACACAGGTCTTCTTTTTTAAAAGGGCTCGGTATGACCATGAAAATGAACAAATGTGCCTCTCCCTTAAGTGACTCCCACTTCTTCTTCTCTGACAACTCTAGCTCCCATCTGTTCGTCCTGTCTGCTAGAAAAAATTAAGATGCCCAATGCTAGAATTGCCCCTACTTTCTGACAGCACCCATTTTGAACAGAACACTCAATTTTTAACCCACTCAAAATCACCTAACTCATGCTAAAATCCTAGAACGACCCCTCCGAACACCCTTTTACTCACTGTCCTGTGGTTCCCCATGGTGGACACGCTCCCTCATATAAGAAGTTAATAAAATGAATCTTGTTAACTTCAGGCGTTCCTGGAGCTCTTTGGCTGATGTGCAGTGGCAGTCTTTTAAGTGAATTTTCTCATTCAATCTTCCAAAAACACGAATGTGTTTTACATTACTGATATCATATTCCATACAATATTATAGTAATTATAATAGTCTATTAATTATTTTATAGGGTACACAAGCTTAGGGTTGTTCAGATCTTTGTCCAAAGTCACATGCCAGTAAGGGACAGAGCATGGGCTGTAACCCAGATAATCCAACCAGGATAATCACTGTTGTCGTTGAGTCAACAGTGATTAAATACCACTGGTGATTGAGTTTTAGGAGAAAATGTGCCGACAGAAACATATTCCAGCTCTGCTATACCAGCTGCCTGTATTATGATGGAGGGGAACTGGATGGGGCCAGGGAGGAATTAGCACTAGAAGAGATCAGACCTCTGGTCACTGATGGGTAGAGTGAACACATGACCTATCCAAACCAGGACACCTTCGAGAGTAAAGGAGGGTAATTATAATTATTACACAAAAGGTATCATCTAGGACTGTCCCAAGCAAATGGGTGGCATGGGGCCTTACAGATGGGGCTGCTGCACTTGGCGCTAGAGCCCTCGGTTATGATGGTAATCTGAGTGCCAGCTCCATTGTTCCAATACTCCATGGTCAGAAAAGATGGGGACCTAAGCAGGGTATAGCAGCACTATTTACATCCATCTGCTGTAAGATTTAGCACTCCTGAGCTGGGGGAGGCCCAAACCTGCTGCCTTCCTAGTCTGCCAGCGTCCAGGGATGGGAGAAATTTGAGGGTGAGGGTAGGGGAAAAGTTAAGTGCTCTTTCTTTTTGGTTTATACTATCCATATATTAAATAGGCCTTTTCATTTTTAAAAATAAATTTTATGGTGCATATTTAAGGTTTACAACATGATGTAATAGGATTTATATATATAGTAAAATGGTTACTATAGTGAAACAAATTACCATATCCATCATCTCAGAGTTACTCACTCCCTCCCACTATCCATCCACATCCCAGTGGATTTAGCAAAAATCCTGAATACGATACACTATTAATAACCATATTCCCCATATTGTATATTTGAATCTTTAGACTTATTCAACCTACACATTTGCTACTTTGAATCCTTTGCCTTGTATTTCCCTATTTGCTCTCCCCCATCCCAACCCTGGTACCACGATTTTATTCTCTATTTGACCTTGAAGTGCCTGAACAAAGAGAGCTTACTTTGGTCAAAATATAGAAGTGACTTACAGGAACAACAGAAGAATTTATGAAGAAACCATTTGGTAACAACTTTTAAGAGTAATTCTAAGCTTAGCTTAAAAATAATCCTAAATTTCTGAGAAACCCAAAAGCAAAACAAACAACACAATGAGTTTCTGCAATGTTTCCAGCAAAGTGAGAGACCTCACTCTTGCCTACAACTAGTCTATTTCTCCCAACTCGTTACTGCATTTAAAATTCGACGAGTTTTCTGCATTATCAGATATCCTAGTTGCCAATGAATGATAATTTAATGTCTTTCATAATTCAAAGAGTACTTCTGAATTGTACTGTGTTGCAGAATTTTGCAATTCATGACATATGTAGCTGGTAGAGACTCTTCATCCCATGTTGAAAGTCTGGCATTTTATGATTTGGCTTTACTACAGGTGCATAGGTTGTCTTGTTAACTGACTGCATGGAACGTTGGAGCAGCAGACATCACCTAAGTGAACTTATACACTGATTAAGCTGATATGCAAAAAAAAGTTAAAAAGTAACATGGTCTTCTTAAAGGCAGCTGTGTGAGCTCATAGGCTCTGGAATGGTAGAAGAAACAGAGAACGATTAAACAGTCCAATGCTGTCATTTGATAGAGGAAGAAAGGGCAGCAGAGTTTGATGAGAAGAGTCATGCACCAGGACACAGCTGAGATCTGACCAAGATAGGACTGACTCTCACACCGACTAGCACTCAGCCCAAGATTCCTCCCACTCGGCTCCATGCTCCAGGAAGCAACTGTTCTCTGTAAGGTATTGTTTCCCCATTGTCACATCAGAAAATGACGTACTCTAGAAATGGTATGTGGTAATTTAAATTGCCCCAAATCTCAGAATATATTCTTTAGGGGTAAATACCAGTATTGAAGGCGGTGGGGTAGAGAGGGCTCCTATAATCTTATAGTCCGTCATTTGAAGTGACGCTGTAGACAAAGGTTATTTCAGAAGTAGACGACTGGTAAGGAAAAGTGGCAATGGTCAGGGCACTTACTTGATGGCAGCTTGTAGCTTCTCACACAGGATGGTGAGTACAGAGACAACATCATCACAGAGGGACTCCACCGTGGACCCTTCAAAACAGAGGAGGTTACAGGCATGAGACATCGACAGGAGGCACGACAAGCTCCGTGAACTGTCCTTCCCATCTCCCACTTTAGATGGCTTTCCAGACTGAAAAGATGATTTTCAGATGTGGAGAAGCCCTGAGGCCACCAAAGTGACGATCACGGAAAAATAGGAATTAAGTCTAATTAGTCTCTCCAAAGCAAAACACTCAAAAGATAGTCCAGAAAGAAAATCACAGATTGTTTATTACCGATAAAATTAACTCGCACTTAACAAAGGGAAATTAGTAATTTCAAAAAACATCACAATGGACAGCAATTTTCTTTATATTTAGGCCAGTGGACTATACATGTATTCCTTATTCTGATCCTTGAATTTCTGGGTCTTCTGAGCTGATTAGAGTTGTATCCCAGAGAGATAAAATAAGGCAGCATGGCAAAAGATGGGCTTTGGAATTAAGAAATCAGAAAAAAAGGGGCAAAATAATTTAGCCACCATCTTTACCTACTTTATTTGTTCAGCATCTGCAGGGCATATGGTCTTTGTTGATACTGAAGCAACAGAAAAAATAAAATTTCCCTCCAAATGTGATCTAGTTTCCAGAAACTAGAACCAAAATTCCCACATAAGGGTAGTGGGGAAAAGGCTGAAATTTGGAATCTGTTCAACTACACGTCAACAACTTGCTGATTGTGTGAGCTTGAGTAAACTTCAGGGTTTTTTCTGGCAGAAATGGGATAAATAATACCAATTTCACAGAATTGTCAGGCTACATGAAATAGCAAGTGGGAACATTTGTTTTCTAAAATAAAAACCTGTAAAGATCTACACAGATGTGGCTCTAAGTATCTGATGAATACATAAATGAATGAATGACGGTGACATCAAGATGGAGAAAAAATGGCAAGTGTGTAAGAAAGTAAAGTTGGAGGAGGGCAGAGAAAGAAAAATAAATGGCTGGTCGACAGAGTAAGTCTTTAAAATTAAGATTTTGAAAAAAAAAAAAAAAGATAAGCTACAGTGATAAAACACAGTTTAAGATAACTAAAACCCAAATAGGTAATCCTTAAGCTCAATTTTAGATAAACGTCAAATAAGTACCTTTGTCAATTTTTTACTACTATATTTTTTAGAGATGTATCCTTGACCAAGAAGACGTAGAACCCCTTTTTAGTTTATAAAATCATCCTACATTAAAGTGAAGCCTTTATGAGAGCACCATAGCCAACAAGAGAGTAAAGGAAGATGGAACATCTTAGCGAATGTCACTGAAAACATCCAACTGAAAAGGGCCCTTCTTGTCCTCGGCCCAGGGATATAGCATCATGGGACTAAAACAATACAATCTGGTGATGCTTTAGAACGTGACTTAAGGCGTGTCTCTTTCTCATTTCTTTCAAATGCTCTTCTCCTAACTGGCTGCTTAGCTGTTTCTCTCCTTTTTATTCTCTCCCTTTTTTCCTTCCCCCTCACCACTATCTCCTTCTCATTATTATTAACTGGCAAATATAACAGAAAAGCAGATTTGTCCAATTTTTTAAAATTACTGAATAAAGTCTGGAATAAAATCTACATTTCAGTTTTTAACCAGATGATACTATTTTTGCACACCTCTTTCAGAAAACAATATTATCAAACCTGTTTTTAAAAATTAAGTTGCTGGTTAATTATATGTGGACTTCTGCATTTTTTTTTTGTTTCCTGGGGTCATACTGAAAGAAAGTTCCCTAACTTGATTTCAGCTGATCTTTAAATGGGGCTGTCTTCAAGAGACCCTGTGAGATGACTCATCATTCTTGTCAAAAAATTAGTATTTGACAAACATAAATCTGGTGCAGTAACACTGTATGCCAATCAGATTTCTACAATCTTCTAGCCAGTTATTCTCGTTTTAGCAATTAAACCTGACATCACGGAGAATGAAGTAAATAACAACGCCAGCCTCCAAATGAGAGGTATGTGAAGAGTTAATTTCCCTTACATAGTTGGATCAGGAACAGGTGTGGTTGACATAAGTGAAAGTAGGAACAGAAGGAAGATAGCAGCTGATTAAATAATGCCACCTAAGGCAGAGCCAAGCACAACCACCGAGAATGGCAAAACAACCTGAGAACTCCCACCCGTCTTTGTACTGCTCACTCCAAGCACCCAGTAGGCATTCTCACACCCACTTTAAAAACTGAACTAGTACAAATCAAATGCAATACCTTGATTCCCGAATTCCTGTGGGACATCTGGATTTTCAATTATCTAGTAAGGGAGATATACACACAATTAGGAGATTCAGGCAAGAAAAATCCTGACTCATCAACAATGGGAAAATTCTAGAAAACAAAATGGCTTCCTCAGTGCCCTGGGCTCAGCTACCTTGCCTGAACACACCCTCCATCCACCAACTCTTGAGAGTGTTTCATTATTCATCGTGTTTACGGGAAAGAGTATGATGTCTGGAACTGAGCTTATCAGCCCCCAAAATAATTCATTTGAGAGTGTCCGTGCAAACGTGAACACTTGCTGGAAGTTTAAACCCTGTGGTGCACTTAAACATCCAGGATTCCAGGATGCTGGGCTAGGACTTGGGGCAATGCCTGGCTAAAGAGGTGAGTTCATTTTGCACAGAGAACAACTTATTCCAAGGCTACTGCTGACACTGTGCATGGTCCCAGATAATTACAGACTCTTGACCATAAGAAGAATTAGGTTTCTGGACTTCAAGATACAGGTCCAAAGATAACCACTGGTCAGAAGCTCCATCTTCGTATTTGATGGGGAGCATATTAACTGCACCTAGCCAGCTGCTCTGGGCTAGGTACATCTAGAACTATGAGGACAAAGACAGAACTGTGAGGGAAGGGAAGCTGGAAGGAAAAGACATTTACAAATAATCGGACTTACTTCCCATTGCAGGGATAACTCAGCGACTGCTGAGCTGAGACTAGGAAGGTGGTGCTTTATTCTTCCTACCTCTTTGCAGCAGGAGATAATAAGGAGGTATTTTCATGCCAATTAATTACCAGACATGTAACTCATCCCATGGTGATTTAATTTTTAAACTTGTTACAAGCACATATATCTACTATTCTCTATTCATTAATTTGCAAGTCAGCTGTTTCCACAGCAACTTTTGTGAAATGTTATATCAGTATCTACAGCTCAGAATGGCTAAAGTCAAGTTGAGAACAACACTTTATGGAGGAAACACATCTGAGTCGTATTTAAGGGTAGAATTCCTCCAACCTTCAGCCCCAAATATTTAAATGTAGCAACTTTACTTTTTGAAATTAGCAACTTACAACTTAACAATAGCTGAGGTTACCTAAAATAATTCGATAATAAAGCTGAATAAAATGTAGGATTTGTGATGATACAAAATCAAAATTATCATCTGTCCTGGGTGTGCAGCTGGGGATAAACATTAGGCTGAAGATATACATCCTGCTAATGATTTTGGCATTCTACATTATTTATTTTCTTTCCACTGCGTTTCACCTTCCTAATTTTGAGGTGGACCATGATGTCCTTCCTAATTTTGAGGTGGCCCATGATGATACTGAGGCAAGGATCTCAATCAATCGAGGTTTAAGCTAGCTTTAGGGCATGCCCAGGAAAAATGTGAGCCGCAGACACACCTATGGCTGTCTGCACCTGTGGCTGTTTCTCTGAAAAGGTTTTCAGGAGGTTTCTACATTTCCTTAAAGGAGGGAGAAAGGCATGTAGGAAGAAGGGCAGGTAGGCAGTAACATGCTTGTGAGATTTTACTTAGTGCCCAGCAAATCTAAATTTTACATAAAGTGAATGTTTGAAGAAAAAATGGGAGTAAAGGAAGAATCAATTATGTAGATATCTCTGGGTAGATAGAGCAATGATGGATCTTGTCTTTATTCTGCACCTGGGAAGATAGGCTTGTAATCAACATTAGCAGTGTGGAATCAAACAGACTTTAGTTTTAGGAGCCAGATTTAGATTGCGAATCTAAACTAACAATAGGCATGTCCTTGTTTATGGGAGGCCAGCAAATATACTTATGAGTGATCTGTTGGGGCAGTCATCTGGAAATGGCAGAGGCCTCTTCCCCTTCTGTGGCAGTCTTGCAACTGCATAACGCCAGTGGTAGCAGTTCATTTGGAAGAGGGTGTTGCATGACTCAGCCTCCAGACTTAACCTTCCCTTGGCATAAGGAATGTGGGGGTCCTGAGATTTTAAAAATTTTCTTTTACATAGTGATAGGCCACGCTAGAAAATATACACATCTTCCCCAGGTAATGCTCAGAGTTCCCCAGGGAAATATGTGGCCTCTTTAAAACAAACCTCTCCATTCCTACAGACTACTCCACTTTAAGAGCTTTAAAAAAATACCTAATTCTTATGTGGCAAAACTTATGACTCCCTCCATTGGACATCACAAATGCTTCAAATATCAGCATCCTGAGAACTATGTTTTCTGGGACATGGAATCACATCTCCAGGGACTACAAAAGCAATACAAAGGAAATAAAAGGAAACATCAATTTTCTACATAATTTGAGATCTTGCCTCCGGTTGGGGTGAGTTCAGGTGGTCCGTGGTGAGCAGGGCCAGAAGGCTGATTAGCCACATAATACCCAGGACAGAGATTGAGAGCCTCTACAGTATCACCTGGACCTCTGTAAACTACACCTTTGCCATCTTATAGAAGAGCAATATGAGCTAAAATGCTGGGGTATTTGACTTGAAACCTAATACCCTCCTACTTAAAAATCTAAAAATGAGATTAAATGAATTCATATAATCGAAAGCACTTTGAAACTACAAAGTTTGATTTAAATGTTTCATTTAAAAATATTAAGATATTATTAATATAGTATTTGATCATGTTGCCATTTAGTATGGATGAAATATGAGTGTATAAGATTTCTCAACATCTTAGATTTATGTCCATTAAAAACACTTTTTCTCTTAATATGTTTTCTATTTAATTTCTTGTAAACTAAATATTCCCATACCACCTATATATTCAAAATCCTACTACAAATAAAATTGTTTTTAGCAAGGGGTAAGCTAAAGTAATAAAAATATCTCAAGTTAAAACAATTTTTAATAGAAAGTGGGGCTTTGGATATAGAAAACAGAAAAGAAAAAAAATCAGTATTTGTTTTTTCAGATTAGTGTTGTTTTCTACACTGGCTGCCAGAGCACATATTAACTGAGAAGTCGCCCTGGCAGTCAGGTAGGAGACTAGGGGTTTAATTCTGGCTCCTTCATTGATAAGCTCATTAATTTTAGATTTCCATTTCACCTTTCTGAGCTTCATCTTCCCATCTATAAAATGAGGAGCAAAGAATTTGACTAGATCATTTCTAAGGTTCCCTTCAACTCCATGATTTTCTAAAAATTAGAAAATAATTGAAATTAAAAATAATTGCAAATAGTTGAAGTTAAATAGCAAATCCTATTTTTTATAAAATTAATTTCTGAGATATCTGGGACTGTAACTGAGATTTTCTATTTGAACAAATAACTAATGTCATTTCAGAACATTCCTTGCAGATTTCAAAAGGATTTTAATCTAAATCATTACAGAGGCAGATTTTAAAACAACACAAAACACCAAGTTTGAAGAGGAATCATCCTCTCATTAACATTCCCAGAAGACAATATATACAAGAAGCCAATTACACTTACATTTTCCCCTGGAACACTCATTTTAGACAATCTGTTGAAGTTCAGAGCAAAAAGCTCTAGTGGGCTTTGATGACAGAGAGAAAACCAGTTCAATTTCACCCTGAAGGTCCCAGCAGGTGAGGGAGGCCTCCTGCTGCCTTCTTTTAGTTAACAAAGGGAAACATACCCAACCTCAAAACAGGTCATAAATTCTATTCATTTTTCTTAATTTCAAATTTACTTCCAATATTTGTTAATGCATCACAATATTTCTAATAAACATTTTCAATATGAGAGGTTTTAAAACAATGATTTAAAAAGTTTCAAAACAATGACTTAATTACAAAAATTGTAAGGAAAAGCAGTTCTCAAAGCTTTGGGGCGAAATAAGAAAACATCTAAAGAGCTTAATTTATACAAACAAATGTTCTTTTAAGACAAGCAAGCCCTTCCCTACTGTTTTCAGTAGGCAGGCAGCCCTAGCAGGAGGAGCCCCGGGGCATGGGACACACAGTCACCACCAGGAAGGTGATGAACGTGGGGGTGTCACAGACTCACCGTATTCTCCTGCCTCTGCCGCAACTGTAAAGTCAAGTCACTCAGCATTTGACTGAGAGTTGCCCGCACAGCAGTGTTTATGCTACGCTGGTGACAGCTGCTTATGTATGTCTCAATGCACACCTGGTAAAGAAATAAGACAGCAACACACATGCTCTGCAGGTATCAGCTCATTAGCAACATTCTTTGGGATTAACCAGAGAGGATATCAAATCCCTCTTAAACAGAAAGTCAGCCTGATTTAGGACTGGTTATTACTAAATATAACTAAATATATTTTAAATTCCTGGAAATTTGTTTTAAGCATATAGGAAAAGTAGTATTTCCCTAAGGATTACCACTCTTACAACCTGTTCCTCTGAGCATCATAGGAGAATGAAAATTAGTGATTTTTAGATGTGCCAAATAATTATATCTAGAACCAACTCAGATGGCTGGAAATTAATCAGAAAAAGCTCCCTTTGTGGTGAGACAGAACAGAATTTATTAACTCCTAGGTTATGAAGTATGGGGAAAGGGTTAGCAAAACCCTTTCTCCTGCTCTATGAATGAGTTTGACCTTGGGTCAAACGTCTAGCTGTGTTCTTCTGGAAATTTCACAAAGGTAGAACATCAGCTGTGTTACTAGGTAGCATGGCTTATGGCAAAAATGTTTCCAAATTACTATGCTACATCTGAATTGAGATAACTGTGAATCGACTGTAAATGCCTGGTGGGTAGCCACAGGTTTGGGCTTCCCTAGGTGTACTGACTCTTCCAACTGATCACATCCTCCGAAGGAACTCTGCAAACTCTGCTAATAGAGTTGTTTCAGAAATATTGATCCTGTGTGGGATATGGGGCATCTAGACCAAGGTGACTGCACTCACCGAGATGGATCTCATCTCCCTGCACCTATGCTGTCATTTGAGAGCTGGAGGTTCTTCCCTAGGCTGCTTTGAGGACCCCGGGAATAACAATGCCTAACACTGTCCTGCTCTGTTTTGGGTCCTGTGTCCTGCAAACTGGATGTAAAACCAAGGGTGGCCTATTTGGATCTTGCAAGTCTCAATGCCTAGTTGAGCCTAAAAAGACTTGGTGGCTACTACATGGAGAAATCTCAACTAGAAAAAAAAAATCCCTCATTTGATAATATGATGCTAAAAGTCATGACTTTTCAGATTTTTTTAATTTATTGTACTTTAAGTGCTGGGTACATATGCAGAACGTGCAGGTTTGTTACATAGGTATACACATGCCATGGTGGTTTGCTGCATCCATCACCCCGTCATCTACATTAGATATTTCTCCTAATGCTATATTTTATTGCCTGTAATTCTTCTGGCAGCCACAGGGATAGACATGAAAATGCATGCTTTAAATTTGCCTACCTTTTTTTCTCTCTCCATAAGGCCTTCAATTTTACAAAACATATTTAGAGACACAAAAACAAAAAGAGGTATCTAATTTCCTAAATTGTTTTTCTAGGAATAACTCCAAGATTATCTATAATGAAAATACAGGGTTCTCACCTACATGGCAAATTTAATTTAATGATTGACAACTGAGACAGGCAAGAGGCTAAATTTTAATCTTTGTTGCTGCTTCTGCTTAGGCTGAGGAATTTTCTCCCAGGCCTCATGTTATTTTTTTCTTTGTGCCATGCCTATGTTTACCTAGCAGAATTAACTAGGTAAACACAAATATTTTTTAAGTTTACTTTATCTCCTATTAGTATTTCTTTTATATATATATATATATATATATAAAACTTATTATTTTATTTTATTGCATTTTAGGTTTTGGGGTACATGCAAAGGACATGCAAGATTGTTGCATAGGTACACACGTGGCAGCGTGATTTGCTGCCTTCCTCCCCATCACCCATATTTGGCATTTCTCCCCATGCTCTCTCTCCCCAACTCCCCACCCTCCTATTAGCATTTCAAAGGAGCATTTGAAACTGAAAAACTGTATTTGGAAAAGAAAAAAAAAAAAAGGCAGTCTTCTCAACCTGGACAAAACCCAACAACCCCCAAACCTGCATTTGAAAGTTGGCCTAGATTAATTCATTTCATAGTTAAGAAGCAAAAGCAAGTTATAAAGTATTTGTTTTTCATAAAAGTATTTAGGGCATGCGACTTTTAATTCATTTTCTTAAATTATCATGGATACAGTGAATTTGAAGATACAATAATTTATGCAAGCAAAAAAAAAAGGTATTTCAGTTCAGATGTGGTGGCTCACACCTGTAATCCTAACACTTTGGGAGGCTGAGGTGGCTGGATTGCTTGAGTCCAAGAGTTTGGGATCTGCCTGGGTGCAACGTGGCAAAACCACATCTCTACAAAAAATACAAAAATTAGCCGGACATGGTGGTGCATGCCTATAGTCCCAGCTCCAGGCAAGGGAGGATCACCTGAGCCTGGGAAGGTAGAAGCTGCAATGAGCTATGATATCATGCCTCTCCAGTCTGGGTGACAGAGACCCTACCTACCTCCATGAAAGGTGTTTTAATCCTCAAATGCTTCTACTTTTGCATGTGATGAAATGGTTTTAAAACTTCGAAAATCATCTAAATGAGTGCAGTGATTCACTTTGATGAAGCCAAACTCACCATCATGTATCATTTGTATTTCATAATTTAACAGCTTTCTTTAAATCTTACATTTCCTCAGAAATCTTTTTAACTGTTGATCTTTAAGATCTCTAAGCTCTGACATTTTAAATTTATGGGGGAATTTTAAGCCTTAAAAGCATTACAGATGAAAGAGGAGCTATTTTGAGAGCTGTATTACACACTTAATATAAACTCTTCTCATAGTGATATGAGAGACATATCACTATGAAATGTTTAAAAAATTTAGACTCATGAAAGAAAGTGCACACGTGAGGAATTGGATTTTCTATAATGTAGTGCTGTAAACAGACAAGAACTTTCCAAATATCAAAGGTTTTTTTTGTTTGTTTGTTTGTTTTTTAGTTTTAATGCCAGCACTGTTTTTAGTGTTTGGTTGCTAATGCTATAGGCATTAACACTGGACATGACTTAATGCAGGAAACTTTTTATTCAGGGAAAAGGTAAGCATGTTTACTCAGCTAAAACAAGTATTAATTTAAGAAGCTCATTTGGCTAAAGTTGAGAGTATAAAGGCTGAAGGCTGTCCCATTAAATATAACAATTACCATGTATTGGATGATATGGCTGTCTTTAGGTACCCAGAAAGGAATGCTTTCTCAGCTATCCTGATATCTTCTAAAGCAAAGTTTCTTAAACCTCCTGCAATAATAATATATTGGTAAACTAGCAAGATTCATAGAACTAGCTAGGGTTTCCATTTTATAAACCTGTTCATTGTATTCCAGACTAACTATTTTTAATGCTTTCCTTCCTCTACTTCAGAGCAGTGTTAAATGAGCACACTGAATCAGAGCAGCTAAGAGAAAACCAAGCCCGAAGGCAGGCTGAATTTCTGGGAAAGAGCTAATCAGTTTCTTCTTTTATTTTGCCCATTATTGGCTGTAACTGCCCATGCTTTTTGCTTTCATAATGCAGAATCAACACTGGGAAAGCCTAAGTCCTGCCCCTCTGCCAGAGGCTCAAAGGGCCAAGGCAAATACCTTGTGAAAAGCCCTACAGGCACCTGATCACAAGGAACACACAAAGATGCAGGGCAGTGAGGAGGTTATAAGGGATGCTTGGATCATTTCACTGATTTGTAGACATCCACCTTCATAACACGTTAAACAGAACTGAGAGCAAACACAAATGGTTAATAATGCAAAATAACGCCAAAAGTAGAAAGAAAAAGAATAAGAAAACACAAGTCTGCAGGCCATACATAAGCAATAAAAGTGTTACATCACCGAGTAAGCAGACTGATAGATAACGATACTAGCTTAAACCCAGGAAGGAACCACTAAAGTATTTAATATGAAGGTGCACAATGAAACAGCACGCACACGCGCGCGCGCATACACACACACACACACACACACACACATATATATTCAATATATATTGTTCAAAGGGATCACAAATATTAAAGAAGGTGCCACAATAAAAATGTGCTTAGCTTTGTAAAATACCTATGATCTTCACTTTGTTGAACTGTGCAATTACCTTATCTTTTCCATTTGAATGGAATTGTTGGCACTGCTTTGTTAAAATCATGCCTAATACTGAGTAGTAAGTTCCATAAAGAGAAGAACTAGTATATTTCCAATTGGAAAACTTTTATAGGGATGAAAAATAATTTATGGTAATTAAAAATAGAAAGGATCAGAGATTAAGCTATAAACAAGCAGAGGGAATGTCTACATAGGGAAGACCATAAATCCTTCTTGAACATATTAGAACCAGAGAAAATCTTGGCTATCACTATAAGTCTAAGCCCCATGATTAATCATGCTGACAACTCAGTTGCCAGGCTACTTCCTATTCTTTCCTTCCCAAGACAGATGAATAAGTGGGTATGTGGCAAGAGGCATCTCATAAAATTGGTCCTGCTGATGCAAACATACATATATACACAGGGTGAACTGAAGTTGTTTTATTACTTCTAGGAAACAGCTGTATAAGTAAGTCAGATCACCACATTAGATAGGGAAGTTTGCTGGTTTTCCTTTTAGATGTAAACTCAAAAGTAAATTCTAAAAGTGCGAGGCATATCCGGAGAAATCTGACTGTGACTTGCCTCTTCCTCCTTTATTGTCTTCATGGCTTAAGTTGGCATATTAAAATGGCTTAAGACACCTTAACCCATCCATTGCTGCATCTTCCCAGATGCCATCTACTTGGTCTACAGAGGGTCTGCTGAGACCCTCTGTCCTATGAACCAGTACAAAATGAAGTAGAGACACTGGTCTGTGCGTCTTCTAACTTCAAAAAACTTCAAGAGCCAAGCAAGTGAGAGGTTTAAGGGAGATGCGGAAATTCCTTGCCAAAGAAGCACTAGCTTGCTCAAAGCCCATCTAGCAGTAACTAGCTAAAGAACAGACTCCTCAGAGGAGTCAAACCAGAATCCAGAGAGAGAGACTGGCACACAGGAATGAAAGGGTTTCAGGAAGGAAAAGTCAAGCTCCTCGAAATGCGATTTCTTCACTCTAGTGGTCTCAACTGGTTGGAGGTCCTGGTCCTGTTTCCTTTGCTAGTTTTCTTGCCAGGAGGTGGGGTCACTCCTCCCACTCTTACAGAGAACATAACAAGATGCTTCCAAGATAAAACAGATTAGGGTATTTGTGTATTTTTCTGTGGGATTATATCTGAAACTCTGTTTTTTAATTGTAGAACATTTTATTTTAGGTATGTCTCAGAAACAATGCTACCATATCAGAGTAAAAAAAGTATCACTGAACACTTTAAAAGGTATAAACCAGCCCAACCTAAAAAATACTTTAGTGACAACTAGAACTGTTAAATTAGAATCGGCGGTGGCAGGTGTTGAGCTTTAACGTTTCTCAAGCTCCCCAGGGCAACAAGTGAAACTATTACTAACTTCTAGTCCTCCGACGTGTCATATATAACGCTCAGAAAAGATACACTATCAATATGGAAAGCTATCAGAAAAAGTGGCGTATTCCCAATGGCCACTTGAATCCACGGACAAAAAAATAAAATGAATCAACACTTGAGCTTTATATACAAAAACAGCATAGAACAATCATCTAACTAAATGTCTCGGTAAAGGTCCAAGGGTATAAGTCTCCTAAGAACTTCAGTAGGTTGCCAATATTATTATGGCAAGATTCTACCAACATTCTCTAAGACTGAGGGGAGCCAGGAAGCAATATAGCAGAGTGATTCACAGCACATGTTTGCAATATTAAAAGTCTGGATTTGAGTATCTAGCTGTAGAAACTTGAGCAAGCAAATAAACTTCACTTTGCTTGGGTTCTTTATTAAGTTGTGGCAGAGATTAAAAGAGAAGACATGTAAAATACTACTTGTTGCTATGCCTTAGGGACTCAATGGTAGTAGCTATTATTATTAACCAGTATACTGGAATGGAGGGCTGGCTGGCTGGAATGAATAATGATAAAAAGGTGTTTTTCATATCCTGAAAGTATGCATCTTAGAGAAAAAAAAGGATTTGAGAAAGATTTTGCTTGACCCTGATAGCATGCTATAGAATCAAAGACTACAAAGTTTCCATGAGTCAATAAAAACAAATCAGCAAACACGCATTTAAGAACAAGGCTTTCTGCCTTTGAGAAATCCCACAGAGAAGCCTTCAGCAGGTATAAAAACCTTTCCAGGCCAGGCGCAGTGGCTCAAGCCTGTAATCCCAGCACTTTGGGAGGCCGAGGCGGGTGGATCACGAGGTCAAGAGATCGAGACCATCCTGGTCAACATGGTGAAGCCCCGTCTCTACAAAAAATAAAAAAAAAAAAAAACATTAGCTGGGCATGGTGGCACGTGCCTGTAATCCCAGCTACTGAGGAGGTTGAGGCAGGAGAATTGCCTGAACCCAGGAGGCGGAGGTTGCGGTGAGCCAAGATCGCGCCATTGCACTCCAGCCTGGGTAACAAGAGTGAAACTCCGTCTCAAAAAAAAACCTTTCCAGTGGAACGTCATTAACCATCTTCATGGCTGTAGCTCCACCTTTTCTTTTACTTCAAGACCTTGGCAATTTCTACTCTCACAGCTTTTTCCTATATGAAGGTAACTTTCCTTGGAAAACTCAACGTATCTGCTACTCTGGGCATAGTATTAAGAGAAATCTTGGGCTTGGCTTTCAATGAATGAAGAGAACGGCTATGCATCCACATGGAGCTTTAGTAATGATTATCCATGGAATTGAGCAGAAAGTGCTTGTTGGCTATTTCAAAGTTGTCCATTTTTAAATTTGGTAATATTTCATATGCTTCCTCTGTCACAGAGGATGCTGTTCTAAAAACCTTTCATTATCGCGGTTTAATTAAGCAAGCTAAATTTAGATACACAAATGAAAGCTGCCCTCTTATTTACATTTTGAGAACTTAATGATCCTTTTATAGTTTCAGTACCTTGGAGACATAGCCTCATTTTTCATACTTAAGTACACATCCCACTTCCTGATCAGCAGGTTTCAGGGTAAACACTATTCATGAGTAACAGTCAATGTATACAAGAGTAAGCAGGAAGAGAACATCTAGATTCCTTCTTAACATTTCCACAGACATTTTAAATGGTTTAAGGTGCTTTTATAAACTGCTTCCCTGTTTCAAAAGTGGCAATGACAAACATTTCACATTTACCACGTGGCTGGACTTGCACTAAAAGCTTTTTATGTGGATTGTATTTTTCTGTCTCAATTAGCACTCCACCCTATGAGCAAGCATCACTTATTTCATCTACAGAGAGCAAACATGAGGTCGGCACAGGTATCCCAGGCAACACCACTGTGAAGCGTAGAGCCAGATTTCACATGTAAGCAGTGGGACTCCGGAGCCCACTTTTTCTCCCACCAAGCTGAAATGCCTTTATCATTATATGGCTCTTTGGTTATGATCTGCCGTTGTTTTTCCTTTCCTGGTTTTGGAAGAGGCCACAGTATTTGATTGTTGCATCCTATCTGGATGGGCCTGCTGAGTCTTTTTATTTTGGCTTCCAGATACTCTCAGTGAACACCCTTCACTCATGCCAAACTCGGTGGTGTGTGCCCATTATTTAGGACTTATATTTTCAATCGTTCTTACTGTCATTCAAAAACCAGTTCTCATGAGGTTAATTCTAACAACCTCGAGAGAACCTATTCCTATCCAGGGGTAGCGCTGAGCTCCCTGGCAGCCCTCTCCTCCTGAAGACCCTCTGCTCCTTGTCTTCCTTTCCCCCCAGTTCTGTTGGCAGGGGCAGTAGCTTGGCACCTCCCCTTTCTTCCTTCAGATGGCAAAGGGCTAACAAGCCTCTTACACACCAATCCTGCTTCTTGCTATTCTCAGAAACAACACTATCTTTTGAAAAGTGAACCTGCAAATAATGAAAGCACTCAAGGGGCTCTTAAAATTCAATGAAAGGCTGGGCCAGGTGGCTCACGCCTGCAATCCCAGCACTTTGGGAGGCTGAACCAGGCGAATCACATGGTCAAGAGATTGAGACCATCCTGGCCAACATGGTGAAACACTGTCTCCACTAAAATACAAAAATTAGCTGGGCATGGTGGTGTGCACCTGTAGTCCCAGCAACTCAGGAGGTTGAGGCAGGAGAATCACTTGAATCTGGCAGGTGGAGGTTGCAGTGAGCCGAGATCACACTACTGCACTCCAGCCTGGCAACAGAGTGAGACTCTATCTCAAAAAAAAAAAAAAAAAAGATTCAATTAAAAGCAAACACTGATAATTATTTGATTTCATTACTTATACAGAGTATATATATAAATGTGTTAAAGGAAAGTGTTCTTTCCATCTATATCAATATATATTTTAAAAGTGACTTGAATTGTAATGAGAGGTCAGCTGATTGGCTGCTGCTTTCTCTTCTGACAGTCACATAACAGTTTTTACATGCTCAAAAATAATTTTCTCTTAATTTTCACTTTTTAATACCACATGATACCATAAAAAGCACATGTATCTGCCAATATAAGTACTCCCCATGAGTGCTGATAATTAGCCTTTTTCTCCATCATTTCAGAACTCAGAAAATCATTCCTTTTTGTCATTTGAATGTATATTCTTATCAGAATATACAAATCCTGAAGATATTTTTTCAAGAAATGGAAGGGAAATTATTCTAAGCATATTAAAGTTCAGCTTTGAAATGATAATGTTTCCAAAAGCCAAAGGCATATGCCAGACATTCAAGAAGCCAAGTTTTCTGTTGGACACATTCTTGGGAGTGCTGGAAGGCACACATTACTCTGGGCTGCAATACCGATTGAAAAAGAGAAGGCTTTATCATTACAAAAGGCATTCATCAGGGTTTTGAAGGGGAGGGGATTTAATCTATAAACATCTCTCTAAATCTCCTACTTGGTTTCTTAAAAACTATTCTTTAAAATCAAACGCTTTTCAATGAGTCTTAGGCAAATTAGACCGAGAAAGCAATACGCCTGGGTAGAGCAGGGTAAGGGGAACCAGTACTGTTATTCCCACAATTAAGGCCTGAAGCGAAGCAAACGCAAACACACAGGGCTCTGAAACACAGGGCGTTACAAGCAAGGATGGCGCACCACACAGCATGCTTCCCACAGATCAATATCTTAGCAGAAATTCCCCATGGTAGTAATCAGAGAAGGGTTCACTCCAGTGCTGGGGCTTAGTTCCACCCCCGTATTTACACCAATTAGAGATAAAGCAGCTGTGAACAGGACACAGGCAGTACTCACCTCAGCAATCTTCAGCACAGCACTCCCATTCAGATCAAATGTGGGCGTGTAGGTGATGCACAGTAAAACCTTTAACAAGGTGCGAGATGAAAGAAGGGACAAGGGGTTAACAGTAGGGAAATTCACTGTTGTTTCATATGCCCTTTGTGGAGTCCTGTTTTTATGATTCTTTTGCTACTTGCTTTATTTAATGTTTCTTTATAGCCCACCCACCGCTTTCTCATTAGTGGCCACACAGTGTTTAATAAAGCAGAGACTATCCTTTACAAAATACAGGCTGCTAATCTCTCCCCATGGAACGGACTTGCAAGACTGGCCAAAAACAGCATCTCTCAACAGCTCCAGGACGTGTGTCGAGTAACAGCAAAAACCGAAAGAGAGTTGTTTAGTAGCAGTCATTTGAAAAATGCCAGGCTTAATGCTAGGCACTCCATATGAATTATCTAGGATGATCTTTTAAAAATAAGTGTTGTTATTATTGCTCCTGTTTTACTGATGAGAAAACTAAAACCCTATGATTAAATATGTTGACTAAGGTCATACAGGTAGCAAGTTGTGAAGCTGAGATTTGAACTCAAGGACTCTGACTCCACGTGCTCACTCACTAGGCAAAGCCATCTCCATCTCTTCTGGGAGTCAAAGGTGAGCGTCATTTTCTATTCCTATCCCCTTCCCAAATCCACATGGAATTAGAAATTCTTTTATGGCGTTTTCCTCTTCCCTCTTGCAGTTTCCTCCAGAATGCTACACGGGGTTTACTTCCCTTATTTTCCGAGATACACAGACAATGGGTGGATAACATTTGCAAGATCTTTAAAGATCACTAAAAACTTCACTTTCTGCTTGTAAGCCTTTAGGGAACAGATCAATAAAAGCCTGTGGCATTTTAAGAAATGCTTCTCAATTTGTAGAGAAGAGGGTACTTTCTTCCTCTTCATTTAGCTTCTGACTTTTCTTGCTGCAGAAAACAGACACGAAAGTGCTGATGTCTGCTCCTTGATCTCAAACCCTACAGCCATGCCCTGCCTGCAGCTTGGCCTGCCAGGAGCAGTCTTCTGAGAATTTTTCTCATCTGTTCAATTCACGAAGGAGCATGGAAGCCTAGCAAATTTACCTAATACAGGATATACATCTAATCAGCATGCCCCAAAACTGCAGTTGTCAGATGTGAAAAGAAATCTCTCCCCATCTCACCGTCTTAGCTGTCAGCTAGGCCGGTCCTTCGGAGAAAGCAAGTATGAATGCAATTAAAGGGGAAGAAATACTTTTTGCCATATTTAGTCACAAGGGTGGGTATTAATTGCAGGTATGCTCCTCAGTCTTTTGATTCTTAAAGGGACTTAATCCAAGAATCAACTCCAGATAAAAATCGGCTCAGTCGGCAAGGCACAGTGGCTCACGCCTGTAATCCTAGCACTTTGCAAGGCCAAGGTGGGCAGATCACTTGAGGTTAGGAGTTCGAGACCAGCCTGGGCAACATGGCGAACCCGTCTCTACTAAAAATGCACACAGAAAAATTAGCCGGGCATGGTGGTGGGCGCTTGTAATCCCAGCTACTCAGGAGGCTGAGGCGTGAGAATTGCTTGAAACTGGGAGGCAGCGGTTGCAGGCAGTGAGTCAAGATCATACTGTTACACTGCAGCCTGGGCGACAAAGTGAGACTCTGTCTCCAAAAAAAAAAAAAAAATTGGCTAAGTGCTGTGGCAATTGAGAAAAAGGGACTAGGGGAGCAATTGCCCCTTGGCTTTATGGGAAATGAAGGCTTCTGTCTCATGACAATCTTTGGGAGTTGGGACTTGGTAGGCAGGGACGGATGAAAGCTGAGAGCAGTAGGGTCACCAGGACCTACCCTGGGCTTGGAGGGAGGCTACACCTTCCAGACCCTGTAGGTACACAGTGGTGGTCCCATGGCCAGAAAGCCCTGTCCTTGGCCCCCCCTCTCCTTTTTTACCATGTGGCTTGATTGGCTTCTTTCCTGTCTCACTTCAGACGTCGCCCCCTCAGAAAGACATTCCCGGGTCGCCCTCTCTAGTGTAATCCCCATCACATCTCCTTGTTTCATTTACTTCAGAGCAGACGTCAGTCTCATAAATGACTTATTTGCTTATTTGCAATCTTCTCATTAGACTATACCATCCGCTGAGCCTCTGAAAGGCCCTCAGGACATTCTCACATGATGCTTTCTTACTTTGAAGTTTATTTTTGGTGCCACGTTTCATGGCAGGGGTGTGGGGAGTCTGAGGTGGTGGTGGTGCTGGCCAGCAGAGGCCACTCAGTCCATCTGGGCTCTTGGTTTTTTAAGTATTGACAATAAAGACTGCCACCACTTTGTAATATGAAAACAATGATGGCAAATATTTGTCTGCACTGGTTAATTATTAACATTGCTTACAGGACTGACGATCGACTTTCTGCCTTCCATGGCTCTATGTATTCATACGAGGTACACAAGGGTAGGATTAGGAAGAAGCGTTCACAACTTGACCCAGTTTTCTGTGAGCAAGAGCTGCTTTTTGGCAGCAGCAGCTGGAAGCAGGAGAAGTTACCGAAGCGAGGTCTTCATGAGGGTGTTGAGTTAGCAGTATCAGTAATCAAGATTCTCAGGGGAATGCAGGAAGCTCGACCCTCTGTGTTGCAGGGAAGCCCAGCATATATAGAGGGACGCCTCCCTGCAACAGTCCACAGAAGCTGAGGATACCTGCACCCGGGCCCCCAGCCAATGCTGACCATGTTCACAAGATGTTGGAAGGAAGTCTTTTCACACCTAATGTCTGGCCACCAATATTCAAAGACTCACTGAGATACATATATATATGGGAATATGGTCCAGGTCCACAAGGGGGTGTAGTTTTAAGGGCAAGAACTTCCCAGGGCCATACCCCCCTCCCATCTCTCTCCATCCAGGCGATCTAATGGTTTATGTTCAAACTTTACAGGTGCAGGAAGAAACAAAAGGTCAATCACTCCAGCGGAAGTTCTAAGGAACTCCTTTCATTGGCCCAGGGTCTTAGGGAAGGTGGGGGTTCCTCCCAGGTTAAAAGTCCCCTTCTTCCACACCCCTTTGGATGCCATGTTTGAGTCCCCTTCCATGAACACTCCCTTCGTGGAAGCTTTCTCTCTCCTGGATTTCCCCTCTGGAGTCCCCTTCCACAATCTCTCGTCGGCCCCTGTCTTCCCCTCCTAAACTCCATCTCTCTCTATTCCCTTCCACTCAGTGTGGGAGCTGCTTTCCTCTCCTGGATTCCATCTTTCTGGATTCTCTCACTCAGTGTGAGAGTTAGCTGTTTCTCTCTCCTTCTCCGGTTTCTTTCTCTCTCTCTAAATCACTTTCTACAAACACTTTTGAGTTCGGCATTTGCTATGCACTGCACCATGGTCCCCTCTCTCATTCTTGACAGAGCAGGAGACCAAGAACCTGGAGAAACATCCTTTCAGGGGAGCTGAGGGCACCCCTAAACCCCAATATAACACATATATCTGAAAACAACAGGAAATAATGAAAGGAAGGTAAAGCACATTAATGAAGCCAGTTCCTTAAGTTCATGCAGTTTGTTGTTGAGAAGCACAGCAGATTTTAATTACAGGGCTGATGGTTCCATGCCCTCCTGGGACTCACAAAATATATAAAGGGCAGAGTGTCTAGCCAGGATGATGCAGCAGATAAAAATGACTTATCGAAACTGTTGATGTTCCCAGTCCTTAGCATGTATTAATTTGCAGGATTAAAACACAGAGTAGGGGTAGAAAATTTAGGGCAATAACAAATTGAAATCATCTGACTTCCATTGCATAATGAGAGGGCAACAAGTTTAGATTAACATTCTGAGCACGTTAGTCCCATGGAAAACAGAAGCAACTAAATATCAAGGGCAATTTTATTAAAAATATATCCTTCCCAGGGTCATTAAAGCATATTGACTAAATTACCATGGAACAGCAGGAACTTGAGTGATGGGCAGTGTCTTACAATCTATAACAGCTTAAAGAAACTGCCTCCATAAATGAGCCACAAGGAAAATAGGAAAAACAGGGGCAAAGCTTTCCATGAAAAGGCAAAAATCATTACAATGGCAAATAAATGTCCCCGATCACTTTATTTAAAAACTCAATGACTGAACAGCTACTATGTGCAAGAAGCAATCCCTCAATTTAAAATGTGCACAGAAACCCTGGGTTTACAGGGAAAAAAACTAGAATTAGACTTGAAAGGAGAAAGCAAAGTTGATTTATTGCAAGATTTGGGCAAAAATGGTAAGAATCTAGAAAATGTGGCCACATTAAGATTAGAGACCGATGGACGTGGATAGATAATGACGGTGAGTACAAAATCGCAGATGTGCTCTTCTAAGAACAACCTGAATTAATCCTCTCCCAAGGACATGTTCTGGTCATAATCAGGGGTTTCTCTGTCAGGCACACTCTGCCCAGGGCCCACGATCAGGGCACAGCAGAAGCTGTGATGTCAGGGCCACAAATGGGACATGATCATGCATGAGATTTAGCATTTAATTGCCGTGTGACTTTGTCTATGTCCTCTAGCCCTTTACCTTTAAAATTCCCATCCCACCCCCCAAGGATATTTACAGGAACAAATGAATGATTAAAGAAATAGTGCAGATGAGACAGATCTTTAAGGCTGTCTTCTCACAGAAGCTACACAAGTCTCATTTGATGTAGCTTATGGTAGCTATTCCAACATAATGATTAAGCTTATTTCAAGTAAAAGAAACTTAGAAATATCAGATAATCCATATAGAAAAATATAAAACCTTTGGTTTTCACTCCATATCTTATCAAAGCCACGTTATCATTTTTCTGACTCAGCTCCACTTTCTTCTTTCTGTTCTCCCTTTTAGACTGTTATTCAATTCCAGTCATTATTCACTAAGGTTCTAATTGTTGTGGGATTACAAATATAAAGGAAGCACAGTCTTTGACAAAAAAAAAACAAAAAAATCTCATCTATTGGAGAAATGAATGCCTGCAACTCTTCTTCAAGGCTGACTGTGATAAGCGCTTCTGCAATTGTGAGGTATATAACGATTTGGAAGGCTAGAAGACACAATAAC